GTGACTGGGGTAATCGGGATGGGTGTGTCAGAGGCGGTGCAGTTGGCGCAGGATAGAGCAGGGTTTAGGGCTGTTGTGCATAGGGTCGCTATGAGTCAGAAACGACTTGATGGCACACAACAACAACAAGAACAGATGTGTGTTAAGATGCAGTATTCAAGAATGTTAGGGATTGAATGAATGTGTTCCTCAAAAGATGTGTGTTGTAAATCCTAACCTTTATACCTGTGGTTACATAATCTCATTTGGGAATGTATTTCTTTGCTATCATCAAGATAACAAAGACTCTCACCACTGGGCTGATTGGAAACATCATGATAGATGGTGAAGAGATTGAGATGGTTAACAGCTTCAGTTTGCTTGGCTCTACAATCAACATTCTTGGTATCAGCAGCCAGGAAATTAAAAGATTAATTGCATTGGGAAAGTCTGCTATCAGAGACTCTCCAAGCACTGAAAAGCAATGATATCAGTCTGGAGACTAAGATGTGCCTAATACAGGCAATGCTCTTTGCAATTACTTGCAATGCATCATAAAGCTGGACAATAATTATGGATGATAGAAGGAAAATTGATGCCTTTGAACTGTGGTGCTGGAGAAGAGTATTGAACATACCATGGACTGTTAGGAGAACAAACAAGTTCATCCTGGAGAGGGTGAAGCCAGGCTGCTTCTTGGAGGCAAGGATTCTGAAGCTCCATCTGACATACTTTGGACATGTGTAAGGAGGGACAGGTCCTTGGAGAGGGGGGATGTCATGCTTGGGAGGGTGGAAGGATAGTGCAGGAAAGGAAGACCCTCGATGAGATGGATTGATTCAGTGACTGGCGTAATGGGGGTAGGCGTGTCTGAGACAATAAGATTTGCACAGGATAGAGCAGAGTTTCAGGTTGTTGTACATAGGGTTGTTATGAGTAACAGGTGACTCGATGGCACATAACAACAACCACAAAGGTACTGTTTAGGCAAATCTGGATTTAGATATAAAAGATTAACAAGCAAATGAGCACACAGAGATGAGGAGGATGTTGCACCACATGAAGATCACCAAAGAGCCAAGGAATTTACTGACAAGAGCATTCCTCTAGGGTTAGTGCTCTGGATTCAGACTTCTAGCTTTCTAATCTTAATAAACTTCTGTTAGAGCCACCCACTTGAGGTATTCTGCTGCAGCATTAGATAGCAAAGACAAACAGGAAGACAATCTTTCAAACCGAAAGAGTAACAAAGATGACAAGAGAACGAGTGTAGGTAGAGGCCCAAAACTTTGCTAGAGTAGGGACATTCTCTCTCTCTTTTCCTCTCTCAACGGCATTGAGTTGGAACTGACTCATAGATGACCCTCCAGTAGATTTTCAGAGGCTGTAAATTGTACGGGAGGAGAATGCCCATCCTTTGTGTTGACAGTGCAGCTCCTTACTTACTAGGCCACCAGAGTCCTCTTTGGGCAGGAAAAGGAGGTGGAAACTACAACAGAAGTCTTAGAAGGGGGATAGAGGCAGAGAGAGAGATCTTGGTAGGCTCGGAGAAGGAAGATCAGAAGGCAAGTGAAACAAGGTTTTTGAATGAACCTTCAGAATAGGATTGTAAAAGTCACTGGTTTTGAGCAGTAGAGGGACATGATCTAATATGGTATTTTAATATAGGAGTGTTCCAGCCTGTATTAGGAGGTTGGAGGCAAAACTCCCTTAATAATGTGGGATCCCCGATTAAAACAAGCTTGGAAGCAGGAGTGCCATCCTCTTCCGTAATAGCTTGCCTCTGGAAACCCTATGAACCTGGAGAAATTACGAAAGTTATACAGATGTCCAGGACTTTCGTTCATAGGGTCGCTATGAGTCAGTCGCCCGCGTATCGACTATGAGTCAGTCGCCCGCGTATCGACCGCATTTAACAACAACAATAACAATTCGGGCTCCACATGGATTGAGAAGGAGCAATGTGGGAGCAGATAATCTTGGTAGTCTTGTAAAGCAGTTGTGGAAATGAGCTTGAGGGACAAAAAGGAGTTGGGTTTTTTTATTTTTGTTGAATTTTTTTGGAGGTGCGATGGCGAAAAACCACGAAGCAACGTGGGGAAATTGCATGTAAATGTATTACTTGTTCAGAAGCAATTATGAAAGAATAAACAAGTTAGAATGGTAGCTAGAGAAGTGAAGACAAGGCCAAACAGGAGGTGGGGGATAGCCCTAAAGTTAGCTCGGGCATAAGGCCAGGACAAGCCTGCACTAGCTGAATCTGACACCAGGGTTTGGGCGCCAGCCCCTTGTCCCAGCCCTACTGGGCGGTGGCAGAGTGCTGCTTAGCCAGGCTTGTGCACACACCTGTCTCGGCCCATTTCCCGTGACTGACTAGGTCAGGCCGGGGCAGCCTTGAGAGGCCAGTGGCTGGGCTGACAGAGAGGCGACAGTAAAAGGATGTTTCGGGGCTAACAGGTCTTGGGCCAAGGCAGGCTTTGGAGGGCCCTTTTTAAGGGACACAGATGTTGCGCTGCAGTTAATGTGGGCGGCAGGCCTGCGAACGGCGAGCACGCTCTGCTCACTGCTGCCAGCAAGGAACTTTTCCAGCTCGGGGTTCCACGCGGTCGGCTCCAGCCCCGCCTTTCCTCTGGGCGTGGCTGAGAAGCACGGTCTGGCCTAGGAGTTCACAGCCGCCCACCGTGCGGTCCATAAACTCCCCAGCACCGCGGCATCTGGGCGCTCCGGGGGCGCGCATGGCGGCAGTGGGGCCGCGAACCGGTCCCGGCACCGGCGCCGAGGCGCTAGCTCTGGCGGCAGAGCTGCAGGGCGAAGCGACGTGCTCCATCTGCCTGGAGCTCTTCCGCGAGCCTGTGTCGGTAGAGTGCGGTCACAGCTTCTGCCGCGCCTGCATCGCGCGCTGCTGGGAGCGCCCGGCCTCCGGGGCCCCCACTGCGTCCCGCGCGGCGGCACCCGGACCGCTGCCCTGCCCTCAGTGCCGCGAGCCCGCCATTCCCAGCCAGCTGCGGCCCAATCGGCAGCTGGCCGCGGTGGCCACACTGCTGCGCCGCTTCAGCCTGCCCGCTGCCGTGCCCGGGGAGCGCGGGGCCTCGGATTCGGCGGCAGCAACGGGCTGCGCGCTGCATGGCGAGCCGCTCAAGCTCTACTGCCAGGACGATGGGCGCGCTATTTGCGTGGTGTGCGACCGCGCCCGGGAACACCGCGCGCACGCTGTATTGCCGCTGGATGAGGCGGTGCAAGAGGCCAAGGTGAGAGACCGCCTCATCCTTTTTCTTCCTGAAAACTATGTCCTGCCGCTGACCTGCCAGTGCAAATGCCATGCAAAGGAAGACCTAAGAGCAAAGGCTGACTTACCTTCTGATCAGCACTACCTCCTGGTCTGAGAACGACTCTCTGTCATCATTGACGACATCTTCACTACTCTTTCCATCTGGTCGCCTTAACGGGTTGTCTGCGAGAAGTCTATCACGAATTTAGTGAATTTCTTTAAGTGGGTTCCTGACTTCTGGGTGCATCCTGGTTAATTGCAGCTTTTCACCTGAGGGAAATACAGGTCCTCCCAGCCATTTCCTCCTGGGGTATGGCTCTGGGTAGCCTCTCCAAAAGATTGGTGGTTGTAGCCGCTCCTGAATTGTCAAAACTGGCTTTACTGGGCCTCTTATTTTTCCTGTCTCCTTGTTGGAGCCACAGTGGAGACTTGTGCAGAGACCCTAATCTCACTCCCCATTTTCTTTTTCTACCCTTCACCCTACTCCAACCTTACCATCCAGGTCAGAGCCTTCCCATTCTCCAGTTCATCTCCTAGAAGGCACAGATAGGGGTTTACAAAGCCTCACTATAATGTCTCCCTTCTAACCCCCCACAGGAGCTCCTGGAATCTAGGCTGAAAGCCTTGAAGAAGGAACTGAAGGATTATGAGATGTTCCGGTCCATGGAGGAGAAGGACAGTCGGGAACTCCTGGTGAGGAAGGCATGGGCTCAGTGGTAGCCAACTGCAGGATCACCTGCCACCCTGACTCCGGTGTTGAAATGTGTACCTATGGAACTGCAAAGACAGATTTTAGAAAGTTAGATGTCTGTTATATGTTTTTGTTTGGTGATGCCAAGTTTGTTGTGACTCATAGTGACCCTGTGTACAACTGAAACTCTTCTCAGTCCTGCACCATCCCCACAGTCATTGCTAAGTTTGAGAGCATTGATGAAACCACTCTATCAATCCATCTTATTTAGAGTTTTCCTCTTTTTAATTGGCACTTCACTTTTCCAAGCCTGATTTCCTTCTCATGCAGAGATCAAGAGGTTTGGGGACTTGGATACATAGCAGCTCTTGTTTAAAAGCTGAAGATACTCAGCACCCCAGTGAACTGGGGTTATTGTATGGCTCCTTTATACTACAGTGAAGATATAATGAGATGATGCAAATAAAATGTACTTAGGAACAGGAGAGTGACAGCAGGTTCATTTTGGTTAAATTGAACAAATGAAGATCACTTGTCTCAAATTCAGTTCCTAGTTCAAAATAATATTAAAATAATGAGAGGGCCTACTAGGTCCTGTTGGTTGGAAGTTAGAGGATACGCATTTCGTCAAGGAAAGGACTTAACATACCCTAGGGCACATGCCTGACCTGACCTATACCTGTGTCTGTTACATCTGCATCTGATTTGTACCTTCCACCGGCCCCCCTTTTGCATCTCAGCACAAAGAAAGTCCCCTAACCTTTATCCCTCCTCTGCTGGAAGGAGGAATAAACATGTGTCTCTCAATCGTGTACATCTGTGACCCAGAGAACCTTCCTCCCGTGTGCACAGCTTCTCAGTCTCTGTGAGGACCCTTCCACATGACATTGTTTAGCACCTTCACCTCTGTCCTCTTCCACCTATCTACACATCCTTTATAATTACACAGTGCCTGCTTAAGGAAACAATACAAGTAGAATATAACTATTGTTGGAAATGTTCTTAGCATTTAGAGGAGTGGTTTCACCTGGGGACAGTTTTGTGCCCCCTATACCTAGGGATATTTGCTGTTGTCTGGAGATTTTTTTGGTTGTCATCACTGGGATGGAATGGACTTTTTGTGGTAGAGGTCAGAGATGCCTCTACACATCTGTACACAGCCCCCTCCCCATGGCAAAGGATTGTGTGGTTCCAAATGTCAATAGTACCAGTGTTGAGAAACTGATTTAGAGTATTTGGACAAATACGCTTTAACTTGTATTACTTCCTTGGATGAAATATGTAGTTGCAAGAAGTGTAACTCTGGGATTATAATCGTAGGTCAGAATCCTGGTTTACCACTTACTGAAAATGTCTCTCTGCTTTCTGTTTTCTTATCTTTAAAATGTAGTAAGTCCACAATTTGAAAGCAGAGTGGGAGGGAAGCTATTATAAGAGTTTTCACCTTATAAAAGTGCTCAGAAGGGCACCCGTCAAAGGGTATGTGAATATTCAGTAAGCGCTAGCTGTTGTTTATTTTTCCAACATCCTTAGGATGAAAGTAAGGCAAGGACATTTTGGTGATCATCCTGTAGAGCTGTGACTTGAACCCAGGTTTACAGACTTACATATTCACTGGTAGTCTTCTCTTCTAGCCAATCTTTCTTTTGTCTAGATGTTTCAGAGGAGTTGAGGTTGTCCGGGTGAGGCCAAATCCTTCTCCCTTGTCACTGGCCAAGTTTCCTCAGGCCTCAGCTCTTTCCTGTTTATAGCATGTGCATGCCACATGTATGTTCACATAAAGAACAGAGGAGCGTGAGTCCAAGAACACAAGAGTAAAAATACAACATGTGATGTTAATAGAAATAGATTTTAAAGTGTCCATAAAAGATAGTGTAATAAAGAACTTGGTGTTCCCCAGAGACAGACCTGACATTTGTTCTTAGCTTTTGTATGGTAATCTGTTATGCCAGATAAGAATATCTTTGTTTCGGGTAGATTTGGCCACACTAGAAAGATCCACCATGTGATTTAGGACTTTGGCTCATGTGGTATCAGTTGACCCGAGACTCAGTTCAGCGACATGAGCAATGGATCAATTAGCCATCCCTATGTAATTAAGCTCTAATAAAACCTTTGGCCACTGAAGCTCTGAGTTTCCCTGCTTGGCAGTACTCTATACATATTGTCACACATCAGTGCCTGGAAAGTATTTTGTCCTTAACTCCATGGGAGAGGACAGTGAAAGCTTTGTGTCTGGAGTCCTTCCAGACGCTATTCTGTATGTCTTATTTTAGACTACATACCTTATTCTTTTTGTAAGCTCTGACTGTGAGGGTAATGTATTTCAGTTAGTTCTACAGTCTTTCTAGTGATTTATCAAAATTTGAAGGTGGCTTTAGGAACACCCCAAACCTGCAATTGGTGTCTTCAGGATGAGCTGAAGAAAGTATAAATAGTTTTGGTGGAAATGAAGGTGGCCTTATTGAGGACTGCACTCTCAACTCGATTTATAAATAAAAATCCACAGCCATTAAGTTGATTTGAACTCATAATGACAACCCCCCAAATTACATTTCTGAGGCTGTAAATCTTTAAGAAAAGAGACTTTTCTTCTTTGAAGTAGCTGGTAGATTCAAACTGCTGACCTTTTAGTTAACAACACAACCCATAACACACTAAGCCATCAGAGAGCTCCTTTTGCACTTGATGGTTGGCTCTAAACTTCATAGTTTGACTAATTCCCACCAAGCATATTCTGCCTGGGGTCATTGTGGGTGTGGGCTGATACCTATGGTCATGAGAATAGTATTTCCCTTCTTCCTTATACTTTTCTTCACCTCCCACATTTTGTATTATGAACATGTGTTGTGCTTTATAATTCCTAAAAAGGAAAGGCACTCTTTAGAAGGAAGTAAGGTAAAAGATTGGTAAAATACATTTGTTATTGTGAAACTAAAAAGCCTCCTCAGTTTAACCTTTATAGTGTCCTCTTGCAGTCATTTATTTCTTCCACTTTTAAAATGAGAAAACTGTAGCCTTAGGTGTTCTGGCATAGTTTCAGATTAGGTTAGGTTGGAAAGCTCAGATTCAAAGAGATATATGTTGAGACTTCTGGGTATACTGAGTTGGAATATTTCATAGAGTATGTGCAAATTTGTGTGTACGAATGTATATTTTGGGGGAGATGAAGCCCTGCGCTGTAGGACAGTCTCCTGTCCAAATGTCAGGTCTCAGTGCCCCAAGTATCCTCACCTTTTCAGCCTCTCTTCTTCTGTGGACAGAAGCAGCTGGCAACTGAGAGAGAAAAGGTTGGGGCTGAGTTCCAGGCTCTGAGAGCCTTTCTGGTGGAGCAGGAAGGTCGGCTCCTGGGTCGTCTGGAAGAGCTGTCACGAGAAGTGACACAGAAGCAGAATGAGAACCTGGCCCAGCTCGGGGGTGAGATCACCCAGCTGTCCGAGCTCAGCAGTCAGATGCAGGAGACAGCTTGCAAGCCTGATCTTGACTTTCTCCAGGTGAGTCTATGTCAGGATTTGACTCATTTACTGTAAGACATTAGGAAAGGCAGAGTGATCAGTGTTAGATTTTGTGAGTAGCATCACTGAGTCCAGGACCAGAAGGGATTGAATAGAGGAAAGTGCCTGATTCTCCTGGAGTCATGGTCTAAAGGTGTAAAATCATTCTTGCTTACGATGTGCAAAAATATATTTTATATTGTTATTCTGGGATAAGTACTGAAGCAAAAGTTTCAGATAATGATGTGGTGTTTTTTTAAAATTATTTCACCTTTTAAGAAATGGTCATCATGATTCATTAAATTAGTTTCACAAACCACTAATGTATCAAGATTAGCAATCCTCACCATTGCATAAGGATTATTACTTGTCTTTTGTGGGTTCAAGGGCAAAGGTAACAGTGGGTCCCAGCAGAATCTGTGCTGAAGAATCTATAATAAAGAGAGCTTTCACAGAGGTGTGGACGATGGTGAGGGGCACACTAATTTGATGAGACACCCATAAACTAGCCACAGCAGGAAGTTGTGTCCCCAACGGCCTCCCAAGGCTATAACTGCTTATTTTTATTCCTCTTGGGCACAAAGGTTGACTTGACTAAGATGCACCGAATCCAAACTATGGTCTTTTTGATTATTTGTTATGTATCTGGAAGCTGAACAATGACTAAGGATGACAAAAGAAGAATTGGTGTCTTTGATTTGTAGTATTAGGGGAGAGTACCAAATATCCCTTGAACTGCTAAAAGAGCTAAAACAAATCTGTGCTGGAGAAAGTGTGGCCAGGGTGCTCCTTGGAAGCAAGGATGATGATTTTAGGAGGGGCCAGACCTTAGAGAAGAATGCTTGGAAAGGTAGAGGATGCTGGGAAGGGTATAGGGTCAGCATAAGAAAAGGTACCTTCAATAAGATGAATTGACAACGGTAACTGTAGCAACAGGCTTAAGTATATCAGAGGTAGTGAGGATGGCACAGGATAGGGCAAGGTTCAGATCTGTTGTTCATAGGGTCTCTGCCAATCATAGTTAACTTGATGACACTTAGCAACAACAACAATACAGGTTAAGGCCCAATTTTATTTTCTCAAAGGTGAATAGAGGTTACAGGATGCTGACTTGAATAGTGTTGATGAATAAGAATGACAGGAGAAGAATTGATGCTTTTGAGTTGTGGTGTTAGATAAGAGCATGACTTCCCCAAGGACTGCTGAAAAAGAGATATGTTTTGGGGAAAGTGCAGCCAGAGTATCCCTTAATGGCAAGGATGGCAAAACTCCACCTCACATAATTTGGGCATGTTGCTGGGAGAGACTGTTCCTTGGAAAGGGATGTCGATGTCATGCTTGGAAAGGTAGAGGGTCAGCAAAAGAGAGGAAGACCCTCAACAAGATGGATTGAGAGAGTGACTGCAGCAGTGGGCTTCAGTGTTGGAGATGATGAGGATGGCACAGGATAGGACGAGGTTCAGGTCGAGTGTTCATAGGTTGCTATGAGTCATACTCGACTTGATGACACCTAACAGTAAAAACAACAATGCTAACTTGCTTTTCTTCTATCTTTCCTCCCAGGAATTAAAAAGCACACTAAGCAAGTAAGTGAATCTAATGACTTCTGGGGCCTCTCTAAGCTGTCTCTTTTCCCTTCTCCATGAACTGTCTCTCTGTCTTCATTACCCACCAACACTCTTTGCTCCTCCCACCTGTCTAGCTCCCCTTCCCTGGCTATCTTACCTGGGTACATTCTGAAGCAAATGTGTGCCTGAGTGGTCAAGGGTGTTCTGATACCAGGCTCGCCTCTCCCTTTTCCACCTCTCTCTGATAGGAGGACCTCGCTAACCTATTTAGCAGAGCCCAGTGGGATTGAATGGGACTGTGTTTATGGGCCTTCCTTAGGGTCTTTGTCCTACAGATGCTGCAATGTTCCCGGGCCCAAACCAACTGCAGTCTCCTCTGAGATGAAGACTAAAGTCTGGAATGTTTCACTCAAGACCTTTGTCTTGAAGGGGTTGCTCAAGAAGTTCAAAGGTAAGGGTCTGGGCAATGGTGCATTTCTGGTGATTGGGCGATCCTAGGGATGCACCTTCCAAAAGCCATGAGAAAATGGTAGCTGGACTGTGTTGAAGCAAAATTGATGTTTACCTGAGAAAATGAGAACAGAAGCACAAACTCAGGCTTGTACACCAATGTTTATAGCAGTGATATTCACTATTGCAAGGACATGGAAACAGCCTAGGTGTCCAACCACAATCTAATGGATTGAGAAATTATGGTACAGTCACACTATGTAATAATATGCAGCATGCAGGAACATTGATTTTGTAAACTACCCAATTTGGGAGGGATTGGAGAGCATTTTGCTGAGTGAATTGACTCAGTCCCACAAGGACAAATACTGTATAAAACTGTTATTGTAGAATGAATAGGAGAAACCAAGGGGGGTGGTAGTAGAAGCAGAGGGATGAGGAGGTGTATGGGGGAGGGGGATTAATCATGGGGTTGTACAATTTGATGAGTGGGTGGGGGTGAGGGAAATTGGAAGAATCTGATCTGGAAAGCAATATATTAAAGTTTGGTGAATAAACTAGTATAAAAAGAATTGGTGTTTAGAGGTAGCAGTGCTTCATCTGGGGTGTTTGGGAACTGAATGAGACTTTGAGATTTTAAATATTGGAAATGGTTGTGTCATTGCCAAACACACACCCCTATCATTCACATACCCCTTGTTTTGTTTATTCTCCTCAGAGGATCTTCGGGATGAACTGGAGAAAGAGGAGAAAGGTATGGATGATTGTTATGGGAGTGCTGATTATATGGCAAAGGAGAGAGTCCATTCCCTGAAGTGACTGGGCTTTGCATGTGGTTGGTTCCTCCCCTCAGCCTTGCCTCGCACCCTGCCAGGTTGCTGCCCTCATCTCCATCTTTGCTTAACTCAACAGTTCTGATTCCTTGAGGCAGCAGTATGGCCTACAAGCCTTTAAGCTATGGATTGGTCAGGAACAGGAGCTTGCCTTGTGTCAAGGGGTATTTAAACTCTAGTAGGCTTGTTGGCCTCCTGTATCAACCTCTGCCTACTATCCCTATTCCCAGACAGATGGAGACAGCTTGATTTAAGTGCACGGGTGAAGAGAAATGGGAAAGGATTGTTCTTCAAATCATCTTTTTTTTTTTTAAAGAGGACAACATTAGTATGTGGCTGGAAAAAGGATACTTATTAAGGAGTTTTGGTATGTGTGTAGGCAGCCAATGGCAGGGAGAAAGGACAAAGTGTCCTCTCTCTCCAGAAGACCTTGGCCATGCCAGATTGTATTCCAAGTTGCTACTTTCCTGAGAAGGACACTAAAGGGCCCCCTGGAAAGGGAATCACCTTGGTCTTCAAATCATCTTTGATTCTCCAAAGAGAGGAAGGGCGATGATTGTTCTTATTCCTGCAGCACTCTGGAACAAGTGAGATCAAACCCTGAGGAGAGGAAAGGGCACATATTCTTTATGACCAAGTTAAGTCAGAGTTTCAACCAAAACCAAATCTATTGCCACACAGTAGATTCTGGATCATGTGAGCCCTATCTCGTGAGAGTTTTCCTAGGCAGAACCAGTCAAGTCAGACCTACCTCTCCTCTGTTCAGAACTGTGTGATGGTCACTTAGTGTACCATCTCCATTATGGTCTTCAAGATCCCCACAGGATCTGGTCTCATCTACATACTCTTTCCAGCTACACATCCTCCTTGCTGTTCCCAGAATACACTCTCTTCAGGCATCTGTTTAAAACCAATTTTAAAAATGGAAATAGAACACATCAAAGGGCATCACATGTAGCAGACGTTTCATTTTCTGAACTTTTGTCTCAAGTATGTATAAACTGGAAAATAATGTAAAGTATATTCTTGTGGATCATGGTCAAGAAAGTTTTGCCACAGCCTTTTAGACTTTTTGATGGCTAACTTAAAAGGTTGGTGGCTGAAGTTCACCTAATGACACCATGGAAGAAGGGTCTGGTGAGCTGCTTCCGTAAAGGTAACAGCCCAGAAACCCTATGGAGCAGTGCTACTTTGTAATTTGCTGGGTCACCATGAGTTGGAAGGTGCTCTGGTTCAGTCGTCTGTAGGAAGTTGCAGTGCTAACCCAAAAGTGGCATCTCTCTGAAAGTTCCAATCTATCAGTGGCTCCACAGCAGAAAGATGGGCAGTTTCCTTCCATGCAATTTATAGCCTCCAAAAACCTGCTGGAGGGGCAGCTATGAGTTAGTTCCTAATTGATAGCATTGAGTTTGTTGACAACAATGGGTTTTTATTTTAGTTTTAGACCTTTCACCCCAGGTGAAGACATTCTGGTGGTGTAGTGGTTAAAGCGCTGCTATCAGAAAGGTCTGGTGTCTTCATGGTAAGGAGTTGAGCCGCCATCCCAAAGGCTTGTAGTTTGAATCTGTCAGTTGCACCATGGGAGAAAGATGGGCAGTCGCAGAGGAGTTACTGCCTCTGGAAACCCACTGGACAAGCGTCTGAATTGGTTCCAACTCGACAGAGCACAAAAATAGAAGAGTAAGTGGTTCAAACCCCTCCAGCTGCACTAAGGGAGAAAAATGTGGCAGTCTGCTTCTGTAGAGATTTATAACTTTGGAAACTCTAAGGGGTTGCCGTCTTTTCTTATAGGGTCATTAGGCGTTCTAACCAGCATGACAGCAATGGCTGAGTTAACACAAGGACACTTCTCTCAAGTCCCCTTAGGTTTCAGATTGTGTGAACCGACAACACGCTGCCATTTCGATTCCCCATGATTCTCAGCTGTAAATCTCATGGAAGGAAACTTCCTGTCTTTTGGTAGATGTAAATTGCTGGAAACATGGTGCACTATTCCTCCAGGGCTCCTTCCAGATTTTATTGTCCTACTGAATTCATATAGAGCACTGCACTCTTTAAAAGAGTGTGACCCAGCATGAGGGTGGCCATGTCTGACCTGCATTAATTCCACAAGGGCAAAGAGTCTCTATCCATGACATGTACAACACCAACTCCTTCCTATGAGGTCAATTCAATTACATCCTGCACCTACTTCCACTAATTCAAATACCAATCATCCCTGCTAGGGCTCTTACTGTTCCACTATTCAATCCAATGTCTGTTATTGTTGCAACATTGACATAGAACTCACAGAATCATATTTATAATTATGGGATTTATTAGGGAAGTTAACCAGTTGCAATTCAGATTGGAAACCAGACCCAATTCTTTAGTCAGGACAGCTTCTCAGTGTGTTTGCAGGCCCTTTGACCTTCAGCCTTGGGACTTTATCTCATGTCAGCCTCTGGTTCTCCTCTTGGCTGCTGGTCTGATTGGTACAGGACTCTCTGGCACTGAAGGACATGCACATTGTTTACTTCTTTCTTGCGTATAGTGAGATTCCCATCTTCTGTCCTTAAACCTCTTCAATTTCAGGATGTAGGATGGTAAAACTTGCCAATCCCCTTATTGACATTCTACATACACTATTTGCATGTTCCCACCCACAAGTTACAATTCACTTCACCCACATTGCTAGCATAGCACCAGCCATGTGATGAAAGTCAAAGTAATGGACTGGGAAAGCCATTTTGACAGTCAACTCCTTGTACCACAACTGGCTGTCCCTCCACTGAGAGCAGGCTTTCCTCACATAGTTGTGTGGTTGGCTTCCTCATCTCCCTTATGTCTTTTCTCACAAGTACCATCTTTTCTTTTTAGAACTTATTTTGTTCTTGTGAATAGACACAGTGAAATACACATGAATCCATTTGTACATGTGATGTTGACTATCCTGTTCCCTAGGTTTCCTATCGAAGTTTTCCAGTTGCTGTTGTCACTTTGATCACATATAGATTTTAAGAGCATAAGTGCTCAAGGCAGACATTTTTTACTAGTTAAACCTATTGATGAGTTTAACGTTTTAGTTTCAGGGGTTTTATCAAGCCCTTCATGGCTCAGGAAAGCCTGGAATCCATGAGAATCAAAAGGCACCTTTTCAGTGACACTTCCCCTGTGCACTGGGATCATCATTATAGTCTGCTTTCCTGATTCCTCTTACTTAGTAGTGATTTTCCCTCTGCTAGAAAGAAAGTTACAGGAGGATAGGAATATTCCACTATTTTGTTTTCAATAGTAGTCTCAGTGCTTGGAATGTTAGGGGCTATTCCCCCAAACCCCAGAGCCATTCAAGTGGCACCCACAGTTGTTCCTTTATTGGGTTTCATCATTATGGGAGGAAACTGCCCATCTGTCTCCCAGGAGTCCCCTCATTGACCCAAATCACCAGCCTATGCCTTAGCCATCCAATGTGCAGTGCACTCCATGGCCTGGACTCCTTTGTTAGAACATAAAAGTGATCAGAATGAAAGGGTACACTGTGAGGTGGGCTGGGGTGGGGGAGATGGAGAGAAAAGGTGCAACAAAGAGTAAATAAAAAAGACACACAAAAATTAGTGTATAAACTTGTTTTTATTACATGTAATTTCAGTGTACTTCAAGATAGTACACTTGTTATGCATCAGAGAGTTGGACAGTGACCAAGGAGGATAGAAGGAGAATTGATGCCTTTGAGCTGTGGTGCTGGAGAAGAGTATTGAGAATACCATGGACTGCTAGGAAAACAAACAGATTTGTCCTGGAAAGGGTTAAACCGGGTGGCTCCTTGGAGGCAAGGATTCTGAAGCTCCGTCTAACATACTTTGGACATGTTGTGAGGAGAGACCAGTCCTTAGAGAGGGACATCATGCTTGGGAGGGTGGAGGGACGGCACAGGAGAGGAAGGCCCTCTATGAGGTGGATTGAGTCAGTGACTGGGATAATTGGGATGGGAGTGTCAGAGAAAGTGCGATTGGTACAGGACAGAGCGGAGTTTAGGGCTGTTGTACATAGGGTCGCTATGAGTCGCAAGCGACTCGACGGCACATAACAACAACAACAACAACAACAATTTCAGTGTTATAAACAAAATGTATATGAATGATTGAATAAAAAAATCAAAATGATTTTTAAACTTGCCCTCAAGTGAAAAAGTAAGATATACATAGTTTTTGTTATGGAGATTTTAAAACGTATTAAAAAATAGAGAGAGAAGCATTATAAATTGTCATGTACCCACCATCCACTTTCAGCAATGATTAAGCTGTGGTTAATAATTTTCATGTATACCTGACTTCTTTCCACTAGATTATTTTAAACTAAATCACAGAAAAAAAGTATTGTTTCCATAATTATATCAATGTGTTACCTCTTTAGAGAGAGATTTTTAGAAACAAAACAAAATCTGTCATCACATCCAGAAAAATTAATGATTCTTTCAATGATTAGTGTTCAAATTCCCCCAGTTTTTATTTAAATTGGATTTGTTTGACTTGGGATCCAATTAAAGTCCATATATTGAATGTATTTGAGTTCAGCAAATACTTGTTATATTAAAAAAAGAGAGTAGAGGGTTGATTGGTTGGTTGAACTTTCGCCCTCTATGCCAGAAGGATTTCTACAAGAAAGGGAATTAAGGAGTTGTTTTTGTAAAGACTGGAGGGGTTCATGACCCTGGAAGGAGGGACTATGCAGTGGGCTCGCACAGTGACATCTCTCTGTCTGTGCCCTGCAGTGGAGCTGACTTTGGACCCTGACACTGCCCACCCCGGCCTCATCCTCTCTCTGGATCTTAAGAGTGTGCGCCTTGGACAGAGGGGCCAGGACCTGCCTGATAACCCCCGTCGCTTTGATACCAACACTCGGGTGCTGGCATCCTGCGGCTTCTCCTCTGGCCGTCACCACTGGGAAGTGGAAGTGGGTTCCAAGGAGGGTTGGGCCTTCGGTGTGGCCCGAGAAAGTGTGCGCCGCAAAGGCCTCACACCCTTCACCCCAGAGGAGGGCATCTGGGCCCTGCAGCTCAACAGCAGGCAGTACTGGGCCGTGACCAGCCCTGAACGGACGCCCCTCAGCTGTGGGCACCTGTCCCGAGTTCGAGTGGCCCTGGACCTGGAGGTGGGGGCTGTGTCCTTCTATGCTGCAGAGGACATGCGCCACCTCTACACCTTCCGTGTCAACTTCCATGAACGCGTGTTCCCCCTTTTCTCTGTGTGCTCCACTGGCACTTATTTGAGAATCTGGCCTTAAGGGGCATTGCCTAGCCCATTCATGGGTAAACTCATGGGTCCATCTTCCACACCCTGCTTCAGAGGGGCTTCTGCTGTACACAACCTTGGAGGCAAGAGACCGAGTGATGAACAAGGGCTTTGTAATCAGTTGAGCAGGGCAACAGATATATGTCTTGGGCCCTAGGGCCTGTCCCCTCAACTGATATTGACTTGGTCTGTGCCCAAGGAGGTGAAGACAGGAGCCCAGCTCATGTACCTCTTCTAGGAATTGAAAAAGACTGACAAGGGTGCTTCCTGTCAGGTGGGAGTTGCTGGCCATCTGTTTCATCGAATGTCAGGCTTTGGTCCTGTACTATATCCTCAGTTGCAGGTGGACAGGTTTCGGGCTGGCCCAGCCAAGTGAATCATTCACTTTGGCTTTGTATTTTATTAGCCAATTTGACTTTCACAGGTCATGAGACCTATAGATCCAGCTGGCCTGAGGAGATCGCTATTTAAGGAGAAACTCTGTATTTCCAGCTCAAGGGACAGACTGGAACAGAGCTGGAAAGATATCCTTGACATGTGCATTTGAGGAAAAGCCATGCAAGAAATCTCAGGACAACAGTGAATAGACATTGCTACTCACCAAAACCTCTTCGTCAGATAATACAGAGCTATATGCACTTCTTTGGCCAAAATAACAGCCAGCATACCTAAACTCCCATCTTCAAGTGCCAAAGCACAGTTTCCCTTGAGTGAGATAAGAGGTTCTGAAACTTTGAATTGCACATTGGCATTTCTAATATTATGAATGCAACTAGTACCAGCATAGAGCTGTTCTGGGTATAAAGCTGCTTCTGACACACTCTTCCCAGAATTTGTCAAATGAATGTTTGGAGAAAACTTTGGTGCCAATGCAGCTGATCAGTCTTACCCTTGTGGTCTTTTATCTGGCTTGCCTGATTAGCCCCTTGGCTAAACTGTTACCTAGTTTTTTGATGGGCCTTGGGGAGGGTGGTGATTGTTTCCTGATTAGTGTTCCCCAGGGATAGGGGATGGATGGGGAGATGGAAATACAGATTCCCAGCTCATCTCTAGGGTGCCTTGACTTATTCTCCCCTCTACTAGTCTGAGTGCAAAAACACAAGTGTAAGAAAGAATTTCTGCCAGACTGAATGAGCACATGTGTTCATGTGTGTGAATGTGTGCTTCTGTCCCAAGGACAGAAAACCCCATATCCCACAGGCTAGATTTAGGACCATTTGAGTCTAGCCTATAGTAGTAAAGGCTTATTTTCAATCTCATGCCCTTTTTATTCAGGGAGGGCAGACCTCCGAGATGGAGTATTGTAGTTAATTCATGTATTTGATTACCACTGATTTCCACAAGGAAAATTTCCATTTCTAACTTCCATTTATTTAATTAAGGCACGTAATGCGACATCAGAGATAAAGACAGCTATTTGGACCCTCATTGTGACTTTTTTTAGTAACTTAATTACCCTTTATATCATATAACAATTGTGCCAAAGTAATTATTACTAGAAATTACTGAAATATGTAGCACATATTACAGGTTACATATCTGGGTGTTTGGTATAGGCCTAGACTGTGGAGGTGCTGTGTGAACCTGTAGGATCATGTCTAGGGATTGTGGAGTGTGTCTGACTGAGTGTATATTTTCCACTTTTAAGTTTATGAATGTGATTATATGACTATCAGAATATATGTGTTTTCAGAAAAACTACATGTGTATCTGAAGAGCTATAACAACAACTATAAGGATACCTGCAGGGGGAAGAGAAGAGGTGGTTACTCTGGGTAAACTCTTGTTACCATGGTGGCTTTTGATATCACCGATGAATAAATATGTATGTGTGTTTTCCTCTCACATTCTTTGGGCTTTGGTAAAATCATGTTGCAAACCAGACACAGAAAGAAAGCAGGGACACAGGAAAATGAGTTCTGAAATAGAGGGAAGGCTGAGGTAGGAGTCCTCTCACAGCTTAGCACTGTGAAAAGGCCCCTCTCTTAGTCTTCCTATGGTTTTTATTTAGTTTAAGCCAATCATCCTAAAAAAATCCAATCTCTGGAGACTATATTTCCCTTATACTCAAGTGTTGCCAACATAACAATGGGTAAGCTTCATCTTTAAACTAAGGCTTTAAACTTCATATACAGCATCCCCTCGAGTGGGAGGCTGGGCGGAATTATCTGTTTGCAGAGGGTGCTCAGTCCTGTTGGGACTCTGATCTGAGCTGTGGCCCGGTTAACACTATGCCGGGGAATCCACAATCAAAATCTCTAAGAACAATGATTGATCTAACCTGGACCCTTCTGATGCCTCCCCTGGTCCCAGATCTTGTGAACCTGAAGAATCACCAGAACACTGGCTCCTTTAACCACACCCTCACAGGTCTTTTCAACATCCAGAGAAGAGAACACCTAGGGGCTTGTTTCTGCCTACCTATTGACAGTCTCCTGGCTTTGCAAAGCCCTAGGGTAGAAAAGCCAATTGCCCAAGATCAAGGTCCACCAGCTACAGCTGCCACAGAAGAATTGGTGCCTTTCAGTTGTATTGGAGAAGAGTACTTGGCATGCCAAAAGAGCAAACAGATATGTCATGGGAAAAATACAGCCAGGAGTGCTCCATGGAGGCAAAGATGGCAAAGTTTTGTCTTTCATATGTTGGATGTGTTGCTAGGTAAGGCTGGTCCTTGGAAAGGGACATGATGCTTGGAAAGGTAGAGAGGGTCAGCGGGAGAGAGGAAGACCTCTGACATGGATTGACACGGTGACTTAAGCAATGGGCTCTACTGTGTCAGAGATGATGAGGGTGGCACAAGATAAGGCAGGGTTCAGGTCGGCTGTTGAGGTCGCTATGAGTTACTTGGCTCACCAGGACCTAACAGCATCTTTTGCCCAGCAGCTAGACCTTTGCCCCTCAACCTAGACCCTGGCTTTTTCTTCCTTGTGGGTCATTTAGAAGTTCTGATAAGGTGTAGCAGAGTTAGAAGCCACAGCCCTGACCCAGTCTCTTTCCAGCATCCCTCGCACCCCAGTCTCAATTTTTGTCTCTTCATTCTCACACTGCTCCCTCAATGTCCCAGGCCTCCTCATACCCTACCTTCACAGCCCTGACCAATATTTCCTTCAAGACGTTAGAACTCTTAATACTTTCTCCCTAATGCTTTTCTCAGAGCCCCGTATCCTGGACGCACAGTCTCACATACAAAGAGAACACTCTTTCTTGCCCAGTCTGCCATTTTTAGCGATCAACCTCCACCTGCTATACTGCGCGGAGTTCCTTACTGCTCCGCCCACCGTAGGCACCGCCCCGAACACTTTCACCCCCATCCTTCACAGGCCCACCCCACTCCACGCCCTCACCCACCCGCGCGCAACGCAAATATTGCGGGCTCGTTCCTCGGATTTGCCGCTGGGGCTGTAAAGCACAGGCAGTTTGTATTAGGACTTTTTCACTTTCAGGTATATTCTAGCTCAATCAAACTCGTCTGAAAAGCAATCTACGACTACACAGCTTCGGTGGCTGCGGTGACAGCGTCAACAGTTCGTGTGAGAAAGCTGAACTCGAGATTGGCTCCATAGCTCAGGGGTTAGAGCACTGGTCTTGTAAACCAGGGGTCGCGAGTTCAAATCTCGCTGGGGCCTACTACATATTTTTTTTTCTTCTCCCTCCCTATTACTATTTTTTTTTTTTTTTAACCCTTCTTTCTTGAAAGGAGATACGTGAGGGGAAAAAAGAATTTTCACCATTCTGAACCACTTGATTCTAGCGGAACTATCGTTATTTGTCCCCCAGCTGCAGGAATGCGCAAAGGTCTCTCCCTCTCGCTACCTCAAATGCAAAAATTACACTCATCGTGTACTTCGTTTTGGCAATTTGCTTCTCCACCATCGCCGGCCGGTAACTTACTTCAGTGGGTGCCTGATCTGGCAAACTGCGAGACCGTTCACTTGGGTCAGGAGCTCGTTTCTTATGCGATCTTTCACTGACTGTAGCCTGTCCTGTTCTCTGCCTCTGGGCGGGACACCACGCAGTTACGGAGCGCCGCGGTCCTGTCCCTGCGGCTCGCTCTTTTCTCTTCCTCGGCTTGCTCCTCCTCCTGCGCATCCTTACACTGTGTCTTCTTTGCTAACAGTGGCAGTTTTTTCATCCCCCCTCACAAGCAACCACTTCTTTTCTTTGTGGAATTACAAGGTGCAACTAAACGTCCAGATTCGTTCGAACTTTAAGGTTATAACTTAGATACTTTTCATCTGAGTCTTCTGTTACCCCCCACCCCCCTTTCAATTTTTTAAAATTTTAAAATAAAACACTAAAACCGTTCTACTTTAGCACACATGAAGTCGTCCTAAGTTGGAATCGACTGAAGGGCAACTGGCTTGATACATTCTGACCTTCTAAAGATTAATTATTTACTTATACTGTTACCAGAATTCAAGTTTATAAAACGAGCTGCCAGATGCGCAGGCCAGTAGGGCTGCACGACCTTTGCCGGCAGGACATACCTAGGTGAACTTGTCCGGCCAAGCCGCAGTAACCCTCTCTTTCGTCTAAGGTGACCTTTAGTCTAAGATCTGAACGGGTCATCACCCCATGTGGGTATGCAGCTAACTCCTAAGTATCTCAGTGTCCTAAACCAGAACCTGGCCTATGCATCAGAGGAGCAAAGATCTTTTATGGACGCCTGGTGGAGGCCGAAACGAAGGGATGAATAGGACGCGTGAAATGTGGTGGCACTAGGTTTGTGTGTTTAGAATTGTGTAGGACAGAAGTAAATTGATTTCTTTCTCCTCCAGCCCACTCCTATTAAAAAAAAAAATCCAAACTGAGACTTGGCTTCAAGACCCAGAGGGTCTCACTCGTGGGTACACTAAGGTACTTGTGGGCCCTTGACTCCAGGCCCCACCACTCTAAAAGCTCCTGTGACCACACTCTTGAAGCCAGCCGCGAGCTACGCAGGGTCACCCCCAACACTAAAAACAGGTTTTGTAAGTATGTTTGTAGGGAGGGCAAACAGAAA